ACATATATACACACACACACATACATATATATACACACAAAACATGTTCTCTCTTATTTGGGATAGCTAAAAATTAAAATAATTGAACCCTTGGAGATAGAGAGTAGAAGGATGGTTACCAGAGGCTGGGAAGGGTAGAGATGGTGTAGGGAAGAAGTAGAGATGGTTAATGGGTACCAAAAAATAGAACAAATAGGCTACTCTGGTTGCACTGCCTGTGAGTTAGCCCTGCTCTACAAGGAGCAGCCATAAAGAATCTTTTGTTAGTAAAAAAAATTAATAATAATAATTTAATTGTACATTTTAAAATAACTAAAAGAGTATAATTGTATTGTTTGTAATGCAAAAGGATGAATGCTTGAGGGGATGGATACCTGATTTACCCTGATGTGATAATTATATACTGCATGCCTGTATCAAAATGTCTCATGTAACCCTGAGTATATACACTACTACGTACCCACAAAAATCTAAGAATAAAATTAATACAAAACAAAAAAGAAATACAAAACAGACATTCATATCCTGGGGAGATAATAGGCAATGATGAAGAAAGGGTCAAGAGTGTCTGGGAAAATCCTTTGATAATATAAAATAGTATATAGGTATAAATGGTGTTGATCAGGGCTCAAAAAACTTAGCTTGACACTTCACTAATGTAAATATAATCTGATGAAATTCAATTCTGACTGAATATAGATGTGAGGCACCGTGCCCAGCCTACAAATAGTCTTTACAAATAGTCTTTACAATCCAGTGGATGCCTTCTATTGCCCTTAGCAGCTAGCCTTGTTCTTTTGTTTATATTTTCTCAACTGAAATCATTTCACCAATGATAGCTGCAACAACCTTTGAAATCTGGCCATAAGGGTTTACATAAGCCCTTCCACATAACCATTTTAATTTCTCAAATGCTCTTTCTTCTGGATCAATACCAAAATAGAATTTTCCAGAGAGAACACACATACCACGCCTATATACTAGAAAAACACACGTATGTATTTTTATATTATTTACCTCATTTATATTTCTATATTTTGTTGTTTTGTTTTGTTTTTTGGGTTTTTTTTTTTTTTTGAGACGAAATCTCGCTCTGTCACCGAGGCTGGAGTGCAGTGGCACAATCTCGGCTCACTGCGACCTCCACCTCCTGGGT